GAGTTCTTTCGGGGGAGTCCTAATCTCCGTGTCTCCCCTTGATTCCAGGTTGCTATAGATTGCCCACTTTCTCCTCCCACACGACTTAGAATAAAATGCATCCAGCTTGGGGGGAGGGATAGAGGGAGGGAGAACAGACATCCATGGGGGGTGCATATTGGCACAGAGAGTGGGCCCAAGACCCAAGGTGGGGGCCTTGCACTGAGCCTGAGAACCAGACTGTTCTAAGGTGGTGTTGAAATTATTATCTTTTCCTTAAGCCTTTGATGCTTCGGAATATTATTATTATTATTATTATTATTATTATTACTACTATTACTAAAACAACATTACCACATTAAAGGAAACAAACAAAATACCTCTGTCCTCTCCAGCCTGACGTAACTCCTTTAAGCCTTTATTCATGTAGACTTGTGATCACTCTGTATAAACGAGCGGAAGCCCTGCCGGTTTTTTTCGCCCCGTGTGATGACGTGTGGCCACCAATGGTCCATGTGGCAGCCTGGTCTTCGTAAGCCCCCACTCCTCGTGGCAGCATGTCCGTCAGTTAACAGCTCGTCGTCCTCTCAACTAGTTCCTTATTCCTAGCTGTTAGGTGGTTTCCAGCCTTTTGAGATGATAAAGAAGGCTTCTGTGAATATCTGGGTATGTGACTTTTTCCCCTGCTTTGACATCGTTCCTGCTGGAGAAGTTGCTAAATCCTACTCACTTGAATGCCTTTATTTACAGAAACCGCCGTGGTGGCTAGTGCCCCAAGACCACACTTTGGGTCGTGTGTGGCTAATTTATTGGCTGGAGCCCTGGTGTGGGGACAGAGGCCTGGCTCCCATCCATGACCTCAGGCGAGTCCCTCAGTGTGGCTTCAGCATCTCTGAGGCAATGGTCGCTCCATACCCAGGATTTTAAGGAGATTACTTGACACAGAGACACAAGTGGTACGGGAGGGGTCATGAAAGCTCATCTTCCCATCCTGCACTTTTTTTTTTTTTTTTTTGGTGGCTGTTCAGGCTCAGATTATTTTAAGACAGCGCGTCTTAATCACCCAGTGCAAACAGCACACTTTCAAACCCAAGGGCTTTTGGCAGCGCGCGTGAAGGAAGTAGAAGGTTCCAGATAGTACGAAACTCAGCTAAAATGACAACGCAGCCCCCATTGAGGTTCCTCCCGCAATGTAACAGTGTGGATCGAAGCGTCCACGGCTCGCTCCCATTCACGGCAGCCCTTGTCCCACGGCTGGAGGGAAGCTCTCTCCGGCCTTCGCCAGCACTTCTTATCTTTGCAGGGTAAGGCTGCCAAGTGTTCCAGAAAGCACCGACTCTTTCTCCGGCCACAAAAGCCAGAGCCCCCTAACCTCTTCCGGAGGGGAGCGGCCCCCGGAGGGGTGCGGCCCGCGTTTCCCAGAGCTTCTTGCACAAGCCCTTCTCCGCTTGGCTCCAGGAGGCGGATGCTGTGCCGCAGAGTGCCTCCCCCATTTCGGCCAAGTGAAGCTCTTCCTGGGTGGTGGGATGTTGGTTGCATGCCTGGGACAAAGATCCCATAGCCCACCAGGTGAGACCTGCCACTGCAGAAGCCCTGTGGGGCTTGGCGTGGGGTCTGGAAGGCCTGGAGTCCCCTTTGATTCTGCCCTTTCTGTTCCCCGCCCCCCCCGCCCCCGCCCCGGGCCTCAGCAGCTCCTGATGTCCCTACCTCCAAAACATGCCCTGAATGGGCACCCCCCATCATCCGTCTCCTGGCCTCCATCCTCTTTGCCCTGAGCTCCTGCTTGCCCTCGTCCATGGCTGCAACCCCAGCTGCTATGGAAACCTCCAGACGCACAGATTGGATGACTTCCCTGCTCGGGAACTGCCGTTGATTTCCTTTCATACCTAGAATGCTGTCTGAACGCCTACCTCGTCTTCCAGGGAGGGCCTGTGGGACCTGGCCCCCAGCCCCTGGGTTTTTGTTCTGTTCCTCAAACTCCACCAGCTTCTTCCCACCTCTGGGTGTTCACATGTGCTGTTCCGTCCTGGATTGCCCTTGACCTGCCTGGTTCCTTCGCATCATCCAGTTCTTGGCTCGCAGAGCCCCTTCCTCGCACCCACATTCACACTACAGATGTGCCCCCGGAAGGCAGGGGGCTTATCCACCTTGTGATTCTCACTGCCCCCCTGTCTTTAGGGCCTAAAAGAGTATGGAAAAACTGGTGGGTGTGCAGGAAGTCGATGAATGAATGAATGAGTAAATGAACAAAGCCTCCGGTAGCCATTCCCAGCCATGACTGAGGTTGTCCTTCACCACATACCCCCTTCTGTTCAGCCACGTTGCTTGGGGCTGGCCCGGACGGGTGTTAGAACAGCTCAGCAGAGCTGATGGAGGGGCAGCTTCCCAGTGGCCGTGCAGGGGAGCGTTGAAGCGTGCGTCCTCTGAAGCAGGGTGAGCTGCAGGTCAGCTGCAAAGTGGGAAGCCTGCCCTGCCCCGGGAGAGCCCAGTTCTCTCTCCTGCCTTGGTCAGGCTGCCAGCCACCGGCCACTGCCTGGGGCTTTGGGAGTGCTTTTGTCCAGCCTGTCCTTCTGTCCGTCCAACTGCCGCTGGACTGGCTGATCTGGGAGGCCGGTGCTCTGTGTGCAGCATGCCAGCAAGCATGGGTGAGGGGTCCAGGCAAGGGCTGTCCCCTGGAGTCCCAGGAACAGAGTGGAGCTGAGGGTGTGGTCGGGCTCAACCAACCGGGGGCCTGGCCTTCCTGGGAGGGCTCACTGCGCCTGCCTTAAAGGAATGTTCTGTGGTTGGTGGGGTCAAGGGTAGAGGAGTCCAGTTCCATCAGAGGCTGGGGAGAGTGAGGGAGAGCCATGAGTTCCTGCTCGGTTTTCCTTTGCTCTGCCAGGAAAGTGGGATATGATGCTTCCGGGGTGGGGTGGGGAGTGGCTGCCCTGTCATCGGGCAGCCTATTTTAGCCACTTCCCCAGAGCTGAGTCATTGCACTTAGCAACGCCCCCTGCCAAAGACACAGCTCTCTTTGGCACGATCCCCTTCCTGGTGGGCTCTTAGGTCTCCTGACCTGCCCCCAGGACTGGCCCCGGGCCACCTGCTCCTCCTTAACCTTGGTATTTATCACCCCCACATTGTTCTGTGTTCAAAGCTTAGGGTTCTCACCAGCCCTGAAGCCTGCCCCATCTGGTCTGAGCTCTAGGATTCCAGAGACCCAGACCTTGGCCCGGCTCCAGGACTCCTTGCTGGACAAGTGAGATGCGTAGGTGACTCCATACAGGCCCCAACTCTCTCGAGACTTTTTCATGCTGGGTATTGGAGATGGTTTGGTTTTTTATAAGCCAGAAAGCCTCATTCCTACCCCCGGGGAGTGAGACCACAAGCAGCAGATAGCATTGGCTAGACTTCCGCTTTCTTTCTGGGGTGTAGGGCCAAGCCGGGTACTGGGGCCCTGGGGGCTGGCCTGCGGATTTCCCTGCTGGCCTCTCTTACCTCTTCTCCTGTTTTACCCGCCAGGATAGAAGCGGGGGCTGATGGGACCCTTCTGTCCCGTAGTTACGATGGCCAGAGTACCAGGTCCCTGTGAGTGGCCACAGGGCTCTTCACCAGGTCTGCTGAGGCCCTGGCAGCTGGGTCTGTGGTTCGTATTTCTCTTCTCTGTGAGGCCCGCTTCGGATCGGGAAACCACAGTGCTGGATGGAAGCTGCTCAGTGGGTCTGGGGATTCCTGCTGTTACATCAAAACCCTTAACGCAGCTCTGGAAATTCATGTCATGTGTTCCCACGATTCTAGCCCTTTATGCCCCCTGCCCTGCCTCCCCTCTTTTTTTTGTTTACCTGGTAAATAGCATAAGCTTTAGTTTCATAGCTGTGTTCTCGACCCGGGGCAATTTTGCACCCCCCTCAGTATACCTGTTTTCTGGGGCTGCCCTGGGTGTCCCTTTCCTCCCAGCTCTTTGAGATCCCAGGACTCTGTGACCAGAGGCAGGCGCTAGACCACAGGCAGGTTGCAGACATGAGCCCTTTCCATTCTTGCCTGGTGCCCACAGAAGCCTGAGGGATTCCCTAGTATCAAGATGTCGTTAGAAACCTGGTTTGGTTTCCTTCTGCTCCTAACAAGTCTGAGGCCAACTGCAGACTCCCTTTCTCTTTTTTAGCCAAAGAAAGTTTTCCCCCAAAAGTTGGCCTGTGAACTCATGGTCACATAGGGTGACCCTCTTCTGAGAAGTGGCGAGGGGATGAGCCTGAGGCCAGTAGTTTCCATGAGTGTAAGAGTCAGCAAACTATGGCCCATGGGCCAAATCTGGCCCACAACTTGTTTTTATTTATAAAGTTTTATTGGGACACAGCCATACCCTTTGTTTACATAGGGTCTGTTGCTGCTTTCCTACTAACTACAAAGACGGTATCTTCCACGAAGCCAGAGATCTTGAGTCTCTGGCCCTTTATAGAAAATGTTGGCCAATTGGTCTAGCTGATGCATGTCTAATGATTTAGAGGTTAGATCCCAGGACGTGGTCTGGAGGGAGGATTCAGGTTAGGGGTAAGGGAAGCTAAGTCGCCCGAGGGTTTGGTGGGGAGAAAGAGGAACATGAGGAGGGAGAGCTGACTGGCCATAGTGGGTCATCTCAAGGCCATCCAGGAGAGTCCTCCCCTGGCTCGGAGCCCAGCCCAGGTCACTGGTGTGACAGGTCTGCCCCAGTGCCTGGCTCCCGCCTCACGTCCTACAGGACTTTGTTTGCCGGAGTGACGAGCATAGGACTGCCTGGGGCAGGCACGGGGTTGGGAGCCATCAGACTGGGTGTCAGCAGCTCTCACAAGGAGTGAGAGCACTGGGGCTGGTGGGGGGGGTGGTGGTGGTTGGAGGACGCAGAGAGGTTGGGCCAGGAACCCCGGAGTGGTCTGTAGGCTGAAGTGAAGCCCGGAGGGCAGGATGGAGGTGCTGCCTTTCAACAAGGTCTGCTAGATGGGCTTCAGCGGTGAGCAGGCCCCTTGGAACCCCCTCTGGAAGCTCAGAGTCCAGTGGGCAGATTACAGCCCCGTGGGTGGGAATAGAAGGAGGGAGCAGTGCCTGCGAGAGAGGGGGCATCCGGAGTGCTGGGTGGCCGAGAGGGCGTTTCCCAGAAGTGACGTCTCCACTGAGCCCGGAAGGACGTTGGGTGAGCCAGGTGACAGCGTACTCTAGCAGGGACCTGCATTTGTCCAGTCCTGGAGTCCAGAAGGCAGACGCTCAGGGGCTGGGGCCGAGTGCAGAGGTAGGGGGGCAGCAAGGAATGGCATTGAGGAGGGAGGGAGGGAGGGAGGCGAGGACTGGTGGCCAGATCCAGGGGTCTGCACTGGGGAGTCCTGGATGGGTTTTGTTTTAGATAAAAGGTGATGAATGGTCTGGAGAGGGACAGAAGGGGAAAAATGGGGATCTGCTGGGCTGGTGTCAGGGGCCAGGCAGGATGTGGTGGGCTAGTGGGAGGCAGCCTTAGGGGTGAGGAAGAAACCAATGGGGTTCCCATAGGTTGTGCTTTGCAGTGGGAAGGGTGGGCCTGCCGTGAAGGTAGAGTTGAGAATCGTTAGCAAGACTGGTGGCCGGCACCACGTCTCCCCACCCTGCTCAGCCCTGCACTACTGGGTTTAGCATCTGGGGCAGGTCGCTCCGGGAGGGGAAGGGGCTGGTTTGGCTCCAACACGGGACCTCGTTTCGGTGCTTGCCAGGAGCTGTGTGTGTGGTACCTCAAACTTTCAGACGGCCCAGGCTCTCCTGGGGTCCCCTCTGCTGATCTTCTGTTCTGGTTAGCTACCCCCCCTGGCCTGGGTCTGCAGATCTCGGGGGCCAGACCACCTAGTCCCTGCCTTCCCACACCCTTAATGATTAAAGAAATCAGGAGGCAGTCCTCTTCATCCCCAAGAGGCACAGAGTGAGTCTTCGGCAAAGAGCTTGGCCCCACAGTAGAGAAGTCACAGGCGGGGTCCTCATTTATGGGACACCCAGCAAGGACTGGAAGGCTGGGGAGCTGATTCTGTGGGTCCCAGCAACCCCACCCCAATTCTGATTCAGAAGGTGAGCCTGGCCACCCACATCTGTGGAGATGCTGGGCAGCGTCTCTGGGGCCCGTCCTGTTGGCTCCCTCCTCTGAGGGCTGTGACTCAGGTTAAGGTGTCCACTGACTTCAGAGATTGAGGTCAGACGGGAGGAAGAACTTCCAGCATGTGTCCAACCCTGAGCTGCCGCATGGACTCGCTTGTGTACCTCCACATCCTTCAATGTGGTTGTGTTTGCTCTGGCAGCATCTTGGTTGGGGGGAGATGACATCCTTCCCCCGGGTTCAGGGAGAGCGTGTCTGACCTCCACCCGGATTTGTAAAAAGCGCTCCCCTAACCCGAGTGCCTGGGCGTGAAGAAGGAGGCAGGGTTATGACACCAACTGCTGGCTTATTTCACGGTGGTTCGTTTTGGTGGGAGAGCTGAGGTTTGAGTAGCAGCCCCTAGGCCGGTGGGCTTTGGTGCTGTGCGGCCAGCCAGCGTTAACCCTTTGCCTGCTCTTCTCTCCTTGCAGCCCTATGATCTCCTCCTTGTCACCCCCTCCACCCGCCGGACTTCAGATCTGACCCCCGACCCGCCTGCCGCCCTCGGGAGGCCCGCCCCCCAGCACGATGCCTATCCTCAAGCAGCTCGTGTCCAGCTCAGTGCACTCCAAGCGCCGCTCCCGCGTGGACCTCACGGCCGAGATGATCAGCGCCCCCCTGGGTGACTTCCGGCACACCATGCACGTGGGCCGGGCGGGGGATGCCTTTGGGGACACCTCCTTCCTCAACAGCAAGGCCGGCGAGCTGGACGGTGAGTCCCTGGATGAGCAGGCCTCCTCCACGTCCTCCAAACGCAGCCTCCTGTCGCGGAAGTTCCGGGGCAGCAAGCGGTCGCAGTCGGTGACCCGGGGGGACCGGGAGCAGAGGGACATGCTGGGCTCCCTGCGGGACTCGGCTCTGTTCGTCAAGAACGCCATGTCCCTGCCCCAGCTGAACGAGAAGGAGGCGGCCGAGAAGGGCTCTGGCAAGCTGCCCAAGAGCCTGTCGTCCAGCCCCGTGAAGAAGGCGAGCGCCGGGGAGGGCGGCCAGGAGGAGGCGGGCGAGGGCGAGCTTGGGCCTCGGCGGAATGGGGCCGCCGCCCCCCACTCCCCGGACCCCCTCCTGGACGAGCAGGCCTTTGGGGACCTGACGGAGCTGCCCGTCGTGCCCAAGGCCAGCTTGGGGCTCAAGCACGCCGAGTCCATCATGTCCTTCCACATTGACCTGGGGCCGTCCATGCTGGGCGACGTCCTCAGCATCATGGACAAGGAGGAGTGGGAACCGGAGGAGGAGGATGGCGGTTACCACGACGACGGGGCCGCGGCCCGCTGCGGCGCCCTGCAGGCTCCCGTGGTGGCCGCGGC